GCACAATACTCTTCTCTACACTGTTTCCTAATATCTAAATGGGCTTCCCTGGTGGCTTAGATGGTAAAGAATCTGCCTGCAGTGCAGGAGACCCAGGTTCGATCCCTGGGTTAGAAAGATCCCCTGGATAAGAAAACGGCTGTGCACCCCAGGATTCTTGCCTGGAGAATTCCATGGATCACAGGGCAGCAAGACTCAGGGGGGCATTTCTGCACTGCCCGCCCCACCAGAACTGCCAGGAGCATTTATGGAAATGTGTGACTCAGCAAAGATGGTGGGGGTCTCTGGACAGGACAGGCCCAGAGGCCCGGCAGCTGCCTGTGAGTCTGGGTACAAGGCTCCCGCGTCTTCTCCTGAGGTTCTTTTTCCTGCTGTTATGTATGTGGCCTGATGACTAAAGGGCAAGTGAGGCTCCTGACAGGTCCTGACTTAGGGCTATGTGGCCAGGACCGGTCACTGAGCCAGGGTGAAGGCTGGAGGCCGTGGGCAGACAGTTTGGGTGGCACTGGATGGGAGGTGGAGGCTGTTTGCACAAGAGAGCCACAGAGTCAAAACTCCCACAAGCAAGCTCCAAAGGGCAGAGAGTCACACAGAAATCCTTCTGCCTTCTTCCCCTAGAGACAATCCTGCAAATACATGATCATACTGCTAGGCCCCTGGTCTTCCCTTCCTGAAGCTCATCCCTATCTCATCCACCTGCTCTTGTTTCTTTTCTCCTCTTTTTTCTTAATAAGGCCCCTCTTCTGATGGTGTCAAGTCGCGAGCGTCCTTCCCAGGGAACCCAGTCCCCAGGGTGGGGGCTGAGTGCTCAATGAGCTCAGAGCTCAGTCCTTTCCTCCTGAGGGAGCTCATTAGGTCCATGGCTGCAGAACACCACCCACGCTGAAGGTCCAGTGCCATGCCATCACATGCAGCTCAGATGTGACAGCTCCTCTAGACACATCTACCAGCCACTGATGTCCAAGAGGTTAAACCATGTTTCCCCTACCCAGACTGACCCCCAGCTCACACACTCACGGGGCTGCTGTTCCACCCTCTTCATGCTGTTGAATTGTTCAGTTGCTAAGTCGTATCCAGTTCTTTGTGACCCCACAGACTGTAGCACGCCAGGCTTCCCTGTCCTTCACTATTAGCTCCTAGAGTTTGCTCAAACTCATGTTCAGTGAGTCAGTGATGCTATCTAACCATCTCATTCTCTGCCACCCTCTTCTCCTCTTGCCCTCAATCTCTCCCAGCATCAGGGTCTTTTCTAGTGAGTCGACTCTTCGCATCTGGTGGCCAGAATAGTTGACTTTCTGCTTCAGCATCAATCTTTTCAATGAATATTCAGGGTTGGTTTCCTTTAAAATTCACTGGTTTGATCTCCTTGCTGTCCAAGGGACTCTCAGGAGTCTTCTCCAGCACCACAATGCCACCCTCTCCGTGGCTCAGGCCAGAACTCAAGGCTTCTCTGACAATTCGTTCTTTTACATCCCACTTCCACCCATCCAAGAGAGAAGCATGACTCTTCCCTCAGAACATGTCAGAGTCAGGTCACTCCTCACCACTTCTGCTGCCCTCCCCACACAGGAATCAGGGCAGCAACCCCTCACAGGCCTCCAAGGCCCCCATGACCTGCACCCAGTGTCCCCAGCCTCATCTCCAAATATCTGAGCTCCAAGGAGCTGGAATGCAGAATGCGTGGTGGTCAGAGCAAGTCAGTGGGGACCCCACAGGGATGGCGCCTCAGCCACCAGAAAGAGCTCTCTCTGGAATAAGGGTTCTCCAGAACTGACCTAGCAAAGCTAAAAAACAAGTCTCAAAGGCATCAAACCCACTTGTAAGTAACTCAACTATCTGCCATGACAAAGCCCATGCTCTCTAATGGAAGAAAACAAAATCCAGATGACCCATAACAAAACAAAAAATGCAAACATGGTTATACAAAGACATGAAAGAAAATATAATTGACTATTGAAAGCAAAAAATGATAACCATGTATTATGGGGTTTAGAACATGTGTAGGAGTAAAAACTATGACATAAAGCACAAAGAATGAGGCAGGAGAAACGGAAGCTCACTGTTTTGAGAACCTTGTATTCTTGTGGAGTGGAGTAATAGAATTAAAGGCAGACTGTGATGAGCTGATGCTACATACTGAACACCAAGAACAGCCACAAAGAGATAAAATAAAGAAGTACAGCTCATAAGTAAGGAGTGGAGGAAAAGAATGGAATTAAGAAATGTTCACCATCAAAAAGTGTAGAAAGAGAGGAAAAAATCAAAAAAGAAAAATGAGACAAATAGAAAATGAATAACAAGAAAGTAGATTTAAACCCAACTATATGGATAATTGGAGAAGGCAATGGCACCCCACTCCAGTACTCTTGCCTGGAAAACCAACATGGACACAGGAGCCAGGTAGGCTGCAGTCCATGAGGTCGCTAAGAGTCAGACACATCTGAGCGACTTCACTTTCACTTTTCACTTTCATGCGCTGGAGAAGGAATGGCAACTCACTCCAGTGTTCTTGCCTGGAGAATCCCAGGGACGGGGGAGTCTGGTGGGCTGCAGTCTATGGGGTCGCACAGAGTCGGACACGACTGAAGTGACTTAGCAGCAGCATATGGATAATTACATCTAATGTAAATGGCTTAAAAACTTAACCAAAAAGCTGAAATTGCCAGAACTAATAAGAAATCCACTTCAAATATAAACACGTTAAAACTGAAAAAGAGGGAACGGGATATAACTAGGAGCACTGAGTAAAGGAAAGCTAGGGTGGTTATAGTAACAAGAGGTAAAGAAGACTTCACTGAAAAGCACCAAAGATAAAGGACAAATTTTTATAAGAATGAAGGGGTTGATTCATCAAGAAGATACAACAATCCCAAGGATGAACCCAGTAAGAGAAATAGAAAAAGCATGAAGCAAAACCCAAGAGAACTAAGAAATGAACAACATATCCACAACAGGGTTGGATACTGCAATTCTTATTCTTCAGTAATGGACAGAACAAGTAGACAAAAAATAAGTAAAGATACAGAAAATTTGAACTATACACTATCAACCAACTTGAACTAACTGACATTTATAGAATCTTTCACCCAGTAACAACAGTACACATTCTTTTTCAAGTGTACGCAAAAACAGCCACCAAGATGCACCACGGGTGGTGGTGTTAGTTGCTCAATCGTGTGTGACTCCTTGTGACCCCATGGACTGTAGCCCATCAGGCTTCTCTGTCCCTGGGATTCTCCAGGCAAGAATACTGGATGGGTTGCCATTCCCTTCTCCAGAGGATCTTCCCAACCCAGGGATCAAACCCAGGTCTCCTGCTTTGCAGGCAGATTCTTTACCATCTGAGCTACAGAGAAGTCCCAAGATACACCATGTATCTCAGTAAATCAAAAAAGACTGAAGTTATATGGTCACAAAGGATTGAACAGAAATCAATATCAGGGGCTTTCCTTGTGGTCCAGTGGTTAAGAATCTGTCTGCCAATGCAGGGGCAATGAGTTCCATCACTGGTCCAGGAGGATTCAACATGTCACAGGACAACAAAGTCTGCAAGCTGCAACTACTGAAGACCGTGCACCTAGGGCCTCTGCTCTGCAACAAGAGAAGCCACTGCAAGAAGTCCATGCTGCAATTAGAGAATAGCCCTCACACAGCAACGAAGACCCAGGACAGCCAAAAATAAATTAAAAAAAAAAAAAGACAGAAATCAGTACCAGAAAGTTGACTGGAAAATACCCAGATATTTGAAAATTAAATAAAATACTTCTAAATAAATAAAATAATGCAAATAAATAAAATACTTCTAAATAAATAAATAAAAAGAACTTCTAAATAACAAATGGATCAGAAAAAGAACTAAATTAGAAAATATTTTAAGCTGAATAAAAATGAAAACACAACACATCAAAATTTGTGAGATATAGCTAAAGTATGCTCTGAGGGGAAATCTCTAGCTTTATGTTATTATATAAAAAAAGAAAGATCTAAAATCAATGAGCCAAGCTTCTTCCTTCAGTAGCTAGTAGGAGAGCACATTAGATCTGGATCATTAGAAGGAAAGGAACTTCCTGGAAGTATTTTTTTTTTTTTTATAAAATGAAACATGTACTAAACCATATGACCCAGCAATCCACTCAATCCCACTGAATCCAAGGGAAATAAAAATGTTATGTCTCTGTAAATGCTTGTTCTTGGATACTCATAGCTGCCTCATTCATAAAAGCTCCCAACCTGAAATACCCCAGATGTCCTTCAACAGGTGAATGGATAAACAAACTTTGAACCAGCCACACCTGGAATGGTACTCACCAATAAAAATGAAAGAATGATACAACACAGGAGGAGTCTCAAAAACAATGTTGGGTCAAAAAAGGGTACATTTTATGTAATTTCTTCTCTATGAAAGTCTCAAAAGGACACATCTAACCTGTGGCTTCAGAGAGAGGGTGTGGTTGACACAGACCCATAACAGAGGGACCGGAGTTAAGCGGGAAGAGGCACAAGAGAGAGAGCATTTTTAGGTGATGAAAACGTTTCTGATCTTGAGAGTTAACAAGGATGGATAAAACTTTCAAAGCCTTATCAAAATACACACTTAAATAGGAGCATATGATCATGCATGTCATGCATAAATAGGAGTGATCCAAGATCCAGAAGGCAGTGGGACTTTAACAAACCAACACCACTGAGTGTACCAGGCATCCTGAGGGCTGGACTTCTCGAGTTACAGTCTGAGTAGACTGCGCAGGTACTGGGCCCATGGAGACAGGAGTGGGGCATCACCCAGCATCTGCTAGGTTGTCAGGACAGGGCATTCCGGGGGGCTGGGCACCTGGGGGTCGTGGAGGACACAGCATGGCTGCCTGAACAGCACCATGTGACTTTACATTCTGTAACGGCACCGGGTTTCAATTCAACGCTTAACTCATACATATTCAATCCAGGAGCAGTCTACAGCTTCCTACACTTTTTTAATTTAAAAAATGATAGCAAGGCCTTACCAGAGAGTTGCTTGATGGCCACGGGTCTCACTTTGTAGGGAGTTCTGCAAGAGAGAAGGCAGTTCCACTGTAAGACGCCGTCAAAGACGTCCACACACATCTGGCCCAAGAGATAAGCACTTGAGCTGAATTAGAATTCACCAGCGAATTAGGTCTTTTAAAAAAAAAATGAGCTTCTTTGGTGGTTCTGAGCTTCCTCATTCAGAGACATTCTCAACACTTAAAATATATTATTTAAATGATGGACCCCCTCTCTCATCTTCATATTTGGTTAATAAAACAAGCATGTTGAATGCAGCTGGGATGCAGAGTTGCCTTGGTCTGCCTTGACACCTGGCTGATGTAGGAGGCTCTCCTATTTTGGCTTGGTTTGAACTCCTGGCGACAGCATCCCCCATGTGTACAACGGAGGATCGGTGTCAATAACTCAAGCAAAAATGGGTTGGCACCTTGGTGATGTCACCACCAGTAATCAAGAGACCCATGGGGGTGGGGAGCAGATACTGGTGATGTCACCAGATTGAAGGTCATGGTCCCTGACATACAAGGACCTCCAGCTTTGGGGAGATGATTAAGTCAATGGGAAACAGGCAAAGAATAGGAACAGGCAATGGTTGACAACAGTTAGCAAACACAAAGAGAGGCACCTCAACAAAGAGGCTATTTTTTTTTTACCCAACTGTTTAGCAAAATTCTAGAACCTGATGACAAGAGTGCTACAAGGGCATAGGGAATCAGACTCCGACGGGTATTGCTGGCGGGAGTATGGACTGCCAACACCTTGGGGAGAGCAACCGAGTTGCATGGAGTCAAATTTAAACTTCACTGTCCCACCACGTGAACCTAGGAACGAAAGTATTAACTCTTTTGATTCTCTCTCATGGCAGCGGCCCCCAACCTTTTTGGCACCAGGGAGTGGTTTCATGGAAGACAGTTTTCCACGGACTGGGGTGACTTTGGGATGATTCAAGTGCATTACATTTATTGTGCACTTTACTTCTAGTATTATTCCATCTGCTCCACCTCAGATCATCAGGTATTAGATCCTGGAGTTTGGGCACCCCTACCTTACCGGGGTATCCTCATATGCCACTTGTTCATTCATTCAGCACATTTTTCATGGAGCGCTCAGTGTGGTTGGGTTCTGGTGACATAAGAGTGAAACAGACAAAAAGGCTTTGCCCTCACGGACCCAACGTTCCATGGTCGAATACACCTTGAAAAGACGTGGCTGCTGCCTTTTGAATGGCTAAGAAATACTCAGGCCCCTCTCCACTGGGGGTGGATGATGCATCCGCTGAACTGTGGAAGGTCACGAGGTTGTTAAAAAGATGGAGACAGTGTGCAAGTACTGATGTGGAGGGATGCCCATGACATTTCATTAGGGAGATGTAGCAAGAGACAGGGTCACAGACAGCCAGCCAGCTAAGCAATGGAGGAAGAAAGCTCAGAGATTGGGAGGATGCATATCAAACACCGAACCTGTGAGTGAGCTAAGTCACTTCAGTCATGTCTGACTCTGTGTGACCCCACGGACTGCAGCCCACCAGGCTCCTCTGTCCATGAGATTCTCCAGGCAGGAATACTGAAATGGGTTGCCCTCCTCCAGGGGATCTTTGTGACCCAGGGATCAAACCCGCATCTCTTACGCCTAACCTGCACTGGCAGGTGGGTCCTTTGCCACCAGCGTTAATTGGGGTCATACCTGTGGTTTAATGGTTTCCAGGCCACAGAGAAAAATTGCCTGCAATTTAAAATGCCTATAAAGTATAAAAATAACAGCTGCGTGGCACTATAGCTGATGGACAGACAACTCCATGAGGGTCTCAAATCTTGGCCTCCCCATGAGGGCTTCCTCCTGGAAAAGCATGTCCAGACCTCCTCATGGAAGCACCTTGCCTACAGAAAGGGCCTCTTCCTAAGACCCCTGGAAGTTGGTTATTTGGGATGTGGGTACCTTCACTATAGAGGCTTCACAGTGATGGTATTTGGGTCCTGGCAGATCAAAGAGCACCCTCCTCAGAACCCACGCAGTGTGAAGTGTGGGCCCACCTGCTGAGCTCGTGGCGGGGAGGGGTTGGCCAAGGCAGTACCAGCTCTCCTGGTCCTCACATCGACAGGCTGAGCAGGGTGACTCCATCTTCCCTGGCTCCCCCCTCCCTAGCAGGCGTCAGCCTCATCAGCTTGCAGGCTCTGGGAGATGGAGCTCCGGAAGGCAGTGCCTCACTGAAACCCACCCAGTGTGCGTGGAGCTGACTGTGAACCAGCTGTGGCATGCTCCGGGCTGTGTGTTGGCCCAACCCAGGGAGGAGTGGGGCCGGGGCCTGGGTAGGCAAGTCAGAGGGTGGAGCGCCATCCCCCTCTCCTCCTCCCTCCGCACCCCCTCCCCCATAAGCACTGAGGCTGGGGCAGTGGGGAGACAGCGAGCCTGGCCCTTCCCCTCCCTCCCCCCATCCCTGCTTCTCTTTTCTCCCCCTCCTTGGCCGCCACAAGACTGTCTCTCCTCCTCTCCTCCCCACAGGCCTGATGTGGGTGCGGGAGGTGGTGGTGACCCAGCAGAGCAGGTGAGGGAGGTGGGTGAGGGGGAGAGGCAGAGCCGTGCATCCCAGCACACGCTGACCACGGCTGGGTCCTGCAAAATGACACTTGGCCCCTCCATCCTTAATCCTCTTGATTCTCAATGGCAGGAATGTTCTCAGAACCAGTCACGGTGCTTCCACGATGGAATAAACTCCTGCCTCGGCCCGAAAATGAGTTGCAGCTTCATTATTTCTTCCTCAACAACAGGATCAACACAAACCACTTTCCACTTGCCTTGAACTTGTACTTGTCTTTTTCTGAAATGTAACTATGTCTTTTCAAACATGTTTAGTGGGAGCCAGGATGGAATCCAGGGGGCATTTTCCCAGCTGGCATACATGGTCATGTACGCCACCCATGCAAGCGCTCAGCCATTTCATGCAGTGGACACTTCACGTTATCACAGCTTGGCTAAAACTGGAACTAAAGGAGCGATTGTGTCACACGTGTGCTGTGCCCTCCTGGCCCTTCCCTCTCTCCACATGCCCTGCCCTGTGCCCCATCTTTCCCTGAACTATTTAAGTGCCCGTTTCTCTCCTTCGATGAGGGTCCTGAAGCATTAGTGGCAGAAACAGAAGGTGTTCTCAGGAGGCAACATGCCTGTCAATGGGACACCATGGGATCCAGAATGCCCCCAGTCCAGCCAGAACCAGACGCTCGGTCCCTTTGAGCAGGATCTGAGCAAAGTTGGGACGTGTCTACTTGCGTTTGCTGGTTTTCAGGAATCGGGAGGTTAGCAATCAGCTTTCTTATCATTTCCAAAAGAAAGCGGAAGCCACTCAGCCGACTATTTGATAAGAGCCCCTCTGACTTAGGTGAATATGTGCCGGGTTATTTAAATTGCTGGTCTGAAACACTGGCTGATCATTAAGGCAAGAAGTATTACGATGAGAGAGTCAGAAGGTCATGAAGTTTGGCTTGAAACAAGCTGAAAAGATCAGTATAAGAGACGGGGCAACTGGGACCCTGATTTTTGATTGGTATCCAGTTGATCACCGCCAAGAGTCCTTGGAATTTGGAGAAAAGGCTGTGAAAACGCCCTGTGAGAGCACGAACTGGGCAGACGGCAGGTGAGGTGGACCATCTGGTGCCCCCAGGGAGCCCCTCTTGCCAGGTGGTTCCCGAGTCTGAGGCTGGCAGGGGTGGTCTTGGGGGGTGGACAGGCGCTGACCAGGCTGGCAAGGCCGAGGGGCTGCAGGGTCTTCAGAGATGGCGGAAGCTGCAGGGACACAACCTGATGTGACTGTCTTCTGGAGACAAGCAAAACTCATCCAGCACTTTCCAAAAAGGGAAACCCTGTGTCTGGTGGACATGACCTTCTGGTCACTGTTTGGGCTAGGCCCCCTCCTGGGGTCAAGAGTAGTTTCTTAGGTTTTCCACACTTTCCTTCTCCAGAACGTCTTCCTGACCCAGGAATCGAACCTGGGCCTCCTGCACTGTAGGTGGGTTCTTGACCACTGGGCCACTGGGGAAGCCCTAGAATCACCTGGTGAGCTTTAAAAATAAATCCCTCACAAACGTGAATTTACTAGGCCCTAGTGGGGGACTGGTGATCAGTGCCTTTTTGAAGATGCCTGGTGGTTTAAATCTTTAGGCAGGGATGACGGTCACTATTCTGTTGGGCTAGATCACACTATGCATATATAAAATGGGCAGGACAGCCCAGTGGCAGCCGGAACCGTGGGACTGGAGAGCAGGAGGCAAAGGAGCAGATGGGAGGCCTGGATGGGGGCTTGGGTGTGGAACCTTGGGAATACTGCCTCTTCAGGGCTGACAGCAAGAAAACAAACACAGACGGGGAGAAGCTGGGGGGGGGGAAGCTCCAACAATGGAGCAACCCCAAATGCAAGGAGTGGGTGAAGGCAGTAGACGTAGATGCTCAGTGGTTGGAACAGTGATCAAGGGGGTTCCAGCCAACATCACCACCACCTGGGAACCTGCAGAAATGCCAGTTCTGGAGCCCCAACCCAGACCTAGGGAACCAGATAGAGGGGTTAGGGAGCAGGAGGGAAGGGGCTCTGCTTCAACCAGCTCCTGGGGATGCACGTGAGGCTGGTGGCCGGGGGGCAACGCGTAGGTCTGCAAAGTGAAAGCTGTGGGGACCAAAAATACCAGTTCCCAGCCTCTGTGCTATTGACCTTCGGGCAGGTGAGTTTGGGGTGGGGGGTGGGGCTGGCCCTGGGCTTGGGGACACGGAGCAGCAGCCCTGGTCTCTGCCCTCTGGGTGCTAGACACCTGTCCCCGCTGTGGCAGCCAAAACATTAGACTTCCCCCAGCATTTCCTGGGGAACAAAACTGCACCCTATTGACAAGGGCTGGCACAGAATAAAGTGCCAAACGAGATATGATGAAGTGACAAAACAGAATAGACAACCTACAAACTACTTTAACTAATTCAGGAAATGTGCAGCTTTGCTCCATCAGAGACCAGATCGCATGGACAGGACACTTCCCCTCTGATGACATCATTTTATCTTGTGGACGTCAGGGGTGACAGGTCACTCGTGCCTTTCCTCATGAAAACAGATCTGGGTCAGGCTGGAGCTGGTGCGGCAATTTACAACACTGTTCTTGGAGTCTTTGGGGATTCAATTAGCTTCTTCCTTCCGGGGAGCCCGGAGCCGATAATCAGAGCGTAATCAGCGCCAGAGCACGTGGGAGCAGACACTCCTGATGATGAAATTAAAAATTCAGGAGACTGATGGACACAGCAGGAGGGGGAGGGGAGGCCTGGCAGAAGCACCCAGTGCTCGGGGCAGGACAGTACTGACCGCCCACCACTGAGCTCAAAGGACAGGGGAGGTTGTTCGAACGTTCCAGGACTTCATACTTCCTGGGGTTTGTTACTGCCTCGGCTTTTTGCACCAAAGCCTGGCAGTTCTCACTGGCAGTCCCTGCCGGCGACTGGGCCCCCTGCACCCAGGCTCGAGTGATAACTGTCGAGTGATAACTGTCCAGGCACAGAGGAAGAACAAGTGCCCATCCCTGTTTGCTCAGCTCAGACGTGCACGCACCTTGGGTCAGGGGAAACTTCAGGGCGCTTACATCGGAGGTCCCAGGGACCACATCCCCGGAGCCTAAGTATTTCCAGACTGCCATCAGGCAGCCAGGGGCCCTCCAGTGGCTGGGACATGAGAGGGTCTGCCTGGGCACGCCCCCTCCTGCAGGCTGGAGCAGCTGTCAGTCCACCTGGATGGCTGGGTTGACCCGTGTTGCTCAGAGGGGGATGCAGTGGGTGGCAGGAGCAACAGGCAGGGGTCCCCACGGGTACCCTATGCCCATTCTCGCTCCCACTCGCAGCTTCACATGGAACACAGTTTGGGTTCTGCCTGGCCCCACTGCAAATGTAAAGTGGGGACCGCTGGGGACTCCGGCTGCTGGGCAGAGGGCCGGGCGCAAGTGGGAGGCTCTGCTCAGTCCTCATCTTCCCTCTGGCCACAGCGGCCGGGCTGTTCTACTGATGTTCACAGATGTGTTTCCTGCCTGAGCCTCTGCCTCTCCGGCCTCTCCTGGTTCTGTTCCTCCAGCCCCAGGCTTCCTCCCCGCACTGGGCAGAGTAGCCGGTGGGCAGCACTTGACAACTCCGGGGTCAACGCCCAATGTCCCCAGGGGCTCTGGTCAGGGACTCTCCTGCTCTGATGGACAGGGGCTGGCTCTTATTCACTTAGTCCTCGGCTTCCCCATCTGTAACTACCCCCTCAGAGGGCTCCTGCGGACCCTCGGCAAGGTCCCTGGCCACGCTTAGAGCTGCCACTTTCCTGGAAAGTGACAAGGTATGCACAGTAACTGGCAGCCTCCTACCCAGACTCTCCCATCTTCGGTTTAAAAGCGGATTTCCCTGCATCCATACATTAAGAACACAAGCCTGGAGACCCAGCCGTGCCTGCAGAGAGCTGTCAGACACGGCGAGAAAGAGCTGATGAAGCCTGCCAGCCACTTACCGTTCTGAATTGGCGGGCATGGTCGGGTCGATGGAGACCATGGCGTCATCCGTGGTCAGGAGGGAAATGGTGGTGTTCCTGGAAGACAGGAGAAGCCGTGTCTTCACCCCGATGTTGTCTCCTGGGTGCACACTTGAATCTGGGCCTCCCCTGAGGCAGGAACCTGAGCACCCGGCGGTCCTGCCCAAGGGGCTCTGAGAGGTCGGCCCCAAGACTCTGGCCCTCCGCTTGGTAACAAAGTTAAGGGTTGTGCGTGCAGTTCTAAGTGCTTGGCAGATGTGTAAGTCATTTGAAATGGGAATTGGAGACAGTCTAATTTGTTGAGTTGGGAGGCTCAATAAAACTGTGGTAAAGTAGAAATGAACATTTATATCAGCCGGTGATGAATTCAGGGTTTGCTTTTCCCTTTCATTTCCTGGGGGAGTCCATCTAAACAGGCAAAGAGCTCTCCTACTAGACAGTTTTAAGAGGATAAGTTGAATCTTCCTCTAACCTCCATCTCTGGGGGGGCCTCACCCAAGGTGTGGCCTTAATCACACGACTTAACTCTGGTTTTCAGTTGCGTATTTTTAAAATCTGTGCCCTGGTAGTGACACCTGAATCCCAGGGTTGTTTTAAAAAGGAATATATATTTATTTCTTAGCACACTGTTTATCAAAAGATGCCCCAAACTGTGGGCCATTTCTTGCTGCTCCAAGCTGCCACTTGCTGTTAATTTCAGGCATGTAACCTATTGCCTGACTCTCCTTTTCCCACCTGACTCTGAAAGGTCCTGACCGTCCTTCCTTCTCACCCTCCTTGACCTGGGTCGTAACTTTAAAGTTAACTGCAGGCCAAAGTTATTCCTGATTACTCTCTATTGTCAGGAAGTTAGGACAGAAAATTCACTTGCTAGAACAAACTGCTGATTGTGGTTCTCGAGGGTAGCTTTCTGGTATTTTCAACTTACTTCTGACATCAGTTTCTTCTTAAACATTGAACTGGATCCCTGGGTCATTTGGTGCTGGTGGACTACAGCCTAAACACTACCACCCTTCTTTATCCTTTCTCCCAAAACAAAGGAGTAAATGAAAGAAAGAAAAAAAAGAAACTTTTAAAACAGCAGTTTCTGCCTAACCTCCCCCAATGGTTCACTCCACTAACATAGCTATGGTTGTTGGTGGGCAGCTGACAGCGGTGGCTGAAACCTCCAGGGACTCGTCCATTGATCTGAAAGGTCCCATGCGCAGGGTGCAAGATGAGTCCATCAACCCTTCCAGGCCTCCCATCCCCTAGACTTGGCCACTCGGCCTCCCAGGTACCTGCCCCTCCAGGTGAATTTAAAGGCAACCCTCTGGTGGGGTGACTCTGAGTCACTCACCGAGGCAGGCCGGTAGCGATGCAGAACAGGTCCATAATATCACTGGAGTTGCAATACTTGCTAAAGACCACCTGCAAAACAGAAGCACATGGCTGTGAGGGGTGGGCAGGAGTGGGGCAGCTGGTTTCCATGGTGATGTCAGATTCCAGGGGGTTCTCTCTGCTCCTGACCTGCAGGTTAATTTTACAAAGGAAAAACCAAAATCACCGTGGGCTCTGGAATGCTACCTGCACATCTCATTGAGTTGACTTATACAAGTTGAGAAAAACATGACTCTCTTGTTCGCTGCAGAGTTGTGAAAAACAATCCTGTCACCCAGGTAAACACGCTTGCAGGTGACATGCTGCCCTGCGCCCCACAGGTGACGTCTGATGTACCGCCCACAACCTCAGCTTAATGATACCCCGTCTTGCAGGGTGGGTGTGGGAAGCTCCAATGACCTCTGGGGCCATTATGTGAAAAAACAATTTTAAGGACATTAGCTTAAAAATAAAAGGTTGCCTTTTAGGATTTGGGGACTGGGGCTGCAGGACTAAATCAGACAGGGAATCACAATGAGAAAGGATGTGGTTAGAACCGTGGGTCCACACAGGGAACAAATTTCATACAATGCAATTCTGCACCCAGCCTGGGTGTCCCCGCTGGACAGAAGAGAAACACATTCACACTGGCACCTTTTGTCTGAGGGGTCTCGACTGTGAGTGTGGGCTCCAGAATCACTCCCTGGGAGAGGGGGCTTCAAGCACAGCCCGCGGTTGTTCTCCAAGGCTGGATGGTGCACGGACAGTTCCTGTCAAGGCTCCTGTTTTCATCACAATAGCTGTTTTCCTTCAAGTTCTCCCTGGGAATGGCTGTAGGGCCCCTCTGCTCACCAGCAGGAGTCTGAACAGGGGCAGAGCCACGCTGAACAGAGTGGGGATTTTTCAGTGCCCAGAGCACCGTTTATTTATTTTTTTTTCCCCAGCCAGATCAGTCTGCATCATTTTTAAATTGGAAACAGTGAAATAGAGCAAGCAGATATTTTCCCCACAAACGTGGCCGTTCCCTGACTACCACAGCTCCTGTGTGCCACTGGCCTGGCAACGCTGAGACAAAGCCAGCACCCCCGTCCAGGCCGTCCACTCCACCGCCCACCCCAGGCGGTGTGTCTGCACTCCCCGGTGACGGGGCCACTGATGGGCACGTCCACCCGGCGCCCACCGTCCTGGCTCAGTGCAGGTCCACCAGGACCCCCGCAGCCCTCTTGCATTGGCCCTGCAGGCTCCCGCCCCAGCACCCTGCCTCCATTTCTAGCACTCAGGCCTGCTGGTCTGTGCAGAAGCCTCTGCTGCCCTGCGCGTCCATGGTAGAAGGAAGGTCCACCTCCCCGCTGGGCTCCTGAGGTTCTGGGGTATGTCCCTGGAGCCTGTGTCCTTGCCAAGCTCTCAGCCCACCTTCACTCTAGTCCATGGGCACCCCTCCCTGCTCTCCTTGCTTCCGGGGCCTCGCTTCCCAGGGGCTCTCTTCCCCTCTCTTCCTCCCAGCCATTAGGACTGGGCGCAGCTTCTCCACAGGGCTTCCCAGCTCCACTGACATCAGGGTCTTGCTTTCACCCACCACGTTCTCATGACCGCCCACCTCCAGGGCCCCCGGCACAGGCCCCTGGTTCACGCCTCGGCTTACAGGGCTGCGCCCGTGCGGGGTGAGGTATGGAGTCCGGCCATCCCACCACTGACGAGGGGCCATTTCTGACTTTCCCATTTGAACCTTTCTGAAGTTCATGTCCATCTGTGCAGACTGACTTTGAGGGTTTTCTCCAGACCCCAGTAAAGGGCAGGGGTAGGCGGGGGCAGACGGTAAGTCAGCTTTGTCTGTGAACATTCGATTTGCCCGAAGATTCCAGAAAGGAGCGAGGCGGCTTGCAGGTCATGACCAGACGCTGGTCAGGAGTGGAGCGTGGCTCCAGGAAGTCACTGCTGAGCAGGACCTCCCCAGGGAGGGAGGTGGGAAGACAGACCCAGAGCCTGAAATATCCGGGGGGCCTCGACAAGAAGTAAGTTTGCCCAACTTTATAGGCATCGCTGATGAAATCTAGAGGAGAGTCTTTTGTGATGGTTTCCTAGCCTCGGGATAGCAAATAATAGAAGCTGTAAAAAGTCCAATTATGAAGCCTTCCAGAAAAACAAGTCCAGGAGGGCCCACAGGGCACATTGCCATTCTCGCTGCCCCTTGTGACCGATTCAGCTCAACCCAGGGAGGGAGGCCAGCCTTCTCCTGTGTCCAGAACAGGCTTAGAGATTATTTTTGAGACCAGGTTGGAGGATGGGGGGCTGGAAGGAGATCAGGAATAAACAGAAAAGACTGCATTGGGTGTCTTCCATTGCAATGGAAAACCATGCTGTGTCCATCTGTAAATCCATTTCAGCATGCCTCTACTGTACGGAAATGCCCGGTTCTTTGATTTCTCTTTTGAACCAGTTGTGACATCTTACCAGTTTCCTCCTTCAGCTAAGACGTTTGGGTAAAATTCTTTGATGTGTGGCTACTTTACATGTGTGTCTGATCAGGCTTTCACCTTATTATTAATAGTTGAGAAGGCTTTAGTGGGGACAACACATGTGAGAAGCTAGGGGTGGAACATCACATGAACTTAACATCAGCATCATGTGAATCTAACGTGGGATGTGCCCAGGCAGCCCTGCTCTTTGCCAGGTGCCAGGAGAAGCTTCTGGCCTAGATGGGTTGTTCCTGGCATGGGAAAGCAGCCCGTGCCCCACAAATGTGTGGTTGGCGTGGGAAGATCCCCCAGGCAGCCTGGTCAGGAGGGCACAAGGCTCTCTGTTCCCACGCTGAATCATTCTGCAAATCCTTTATCCTCGATCCAGAAATAAACAGCAGTTAAAAAAAAAAAGTGTTGGTGAAATGAAACTTATAAGTGAGATGCGGAGACAGCAAGATTAACAGAGGAATAAAGATTTTATACTGCCATCCAACTAGAGGCAGAACTGGCTGCCGTTCATCAATAAGCACGACGGATCACCCCAACCCTTTCACGGGGTTTGACTGGCAGCTCCGCAGTATGAACACAAGACAAGAGAAAAAAATGAGAACCCCAAGGCCTCTCGTCTGCAGAACGCTGATTGTTCCTTGTATTCAGCTGGGACCTGTGAAGGTCACGGGGAACTCTAGTGCTGGAACCCACTGGTTGCCTGCAGTCAGGAAACGGACTCTTAGGGAGTGCCAACCACCTGTCAAGCCCCGTTCCAAAGGGCCCCCACGGGAAGCAGCACAGAGCTGGACGAGGCTCCCTCGGGCCCCACCGGCAGGTGGTCAGGGAGCCAGGACCACAGTCCAGGCCTCCGTCTGTCCAGTGCACACATGTGACCCAAACACATGCTCTTTGTGTATGTGTGGGTGTGTTTAATTGCTCAGTCGTGTCCGACTCTTTGCGACCTCAGACTGTAGCCTGCCAGGCTCCTCTGTCCATGGGATTCTCCAGGCAAGAATACTGGAGTGGGTTGCCACTTCCTCCTCCAGGGGATCTTTCTGACTTTACTAAGCAATTCGGAGCTGGTGGCCATTGGGGTGAGCCCCAGGGTCACAGGACCCAGCACGACCACACCGGCCACCCATGAGATCACTGCGGGAATGGCCCTAGAGAAGAGAAGGGAGGGAGGCCAGATCACAGGGGGCGGGGGGAGGGGAAGGAGAGCCCAGCATCTTGACTTGGCACCAGCACGGTTCTGATCTTGGTACCGACAGCACCTCCACCAACACACTTAGAAACCGGGGCTGGCAACTGTGTGACAGATGGTCGGAGCGCTGCCAACCCGCGTCCAGGTGGCCTCGGGGTTAAAGAGATGGGACGGCAGTTTCTAAAGGCTTGGGGGTGACTTCCTGTTCATTCTGAGTCTGGAGATCTCCTCCAGGGATGGGATCCTATTGTGCTTTCCTGTCTCTCCCCTGGGAGACCCTCTTCAGAGGTTCATGGAAGGGAGGATGCAGAAAGTGGCCCCTGAGTTCCCGTGTTCCAGCCAGACACTGCTGTCCATGTGTCAAAAAGCAGGTGGACGGATGGTGTCCAAGCCCCCAGGCAGCTTAGATAATCGAGTTTCTGGTTTCAAGGTTGGGAGGATGGAGATTTGATCATTGCCCAGCAGGGCTCCTGGCGGGCACTCTGTGGTCTTCCTGCAAACAAGCCAGAAGGGAGAGGTTTCACGTTCCTCGGGAGAGGTTCCACGTTCCTCGGGAGAGGTTCCAACCAGGACTTCTTGCCGGAAGACACGGCTATGTGTTTCAGCACTAGAACACTGTACAAGAGCGGGGACCCATGTGAATACAGAGTGGCTGAGATGATCTGGAGTGGACACTGATTCTGATGGGGTGGCTGGTCGCCCAGCAGTGGGGAGGGGTGGGACTCTAGGCCTGCACAGGCCCTGAGGTTCACCCGTAGACGGGGGCAGCCCCACCCGTGCGTGCTGGACCCGTTCCAACAGGGAGGGTCTTCCACCCCGAGAGGGCCCTGCGTCCACTTCCCCACCTTAGCTCATGGACGCTTCCAGGGCTCCCCTGCGTCTGCCTCTCCATTCAGGCTGTGATCTGGCTCACCTGTTGTGTTTGCATGTGTGTGTGTGTGCGTGTGTGTGAATCTGAAGGGTGCAGAATTAAGCACAAAGTGTCCTATTTTGGGGGCTTTCCTGGTGGCTCAGCGGTAAAGAATCTGCCTGTCAGTGCAGGAGACACAGGAGACGTGGGTTAGATCCCTGGATCAGGAAGATCTCCCAGAGAAGGGAATGGCAACCCACTCCAGTATGCTTGCCTGGAGAATCCCATGAACACAAGAGCCTGGTGGGCTACAGTCCATGGGGCCACAAAGAGCCAGACATGACTGAGTGACTCAACAGCAGCAGCAGCAGTCCTATTTTCCAGTTTGGAGTGGCTGGTGCGGTGAGATACCTCTGGTGACCAGCCCATCAGTTCAGCAATGGACTCTGTCGTGGGGAAACTGCCTGGACTGTGACATGCAGGGTTTTGCGCAGTTCAGGTTCTGTCCCCTGGGGCTCTGACTCCACTCCCTGCCCCGTCTGTGCAT